ACAAAGCTTCCATTTTAAGTAACAAAAACATCTACTATAAGCAGTGCCTAAAAAAAGTACACATAAGCAGCACTATGTCAAAACACAATATCCAATTGATATAGAAGGATAAAAGAAAGAAAAAAACTTCCACCAAAAAAATATAATAAATAAAATAATAATGTGAAAAGTTCAATTCATTCTAGTGGAATCCAATGGGGTGTTAATCACTGCAGGATCACATGGATGGTGGATCACTTTATCTTAAAGAGACACTTACCACTGGAATGAATTGAACTTTTCACATTATTTTATGTATTATTTGTTTTGGTGAAAGTTTTTTCTTTCTTTTATCCTTCTATATTAATTGGATACTGTGCTTTGACATAGCGCTGTTTATGTGTACTTTTTTAGGCACTGCCTATATATATATATATATATATCTTACGGAAGCCCAACCCAAAATTGGGTATATTGAAGTTATCAATTGATTGGAATTATAGCTCCACAAGTTACACACATATACACCCTAGGGCCCATAGAGAATATCAGGCGGGTGCATGGATGGTTGTGATACATGAAGGTAGATCTCTAAGGATAGGTGACCACAGAATTATACTGACAAGTCCCTAAATCAGAGATGGAAGTTCTGTACTTGAAAATCAAAAGTATAAGCTATTGTCAGCTTTGTAGGAGGATTATCATTCCAAGCAACTTCCAAGTCCAAAAAATAAAACTGTTTTTATAATGTACCACACTGAGGGGGAAAAACCCACAGTTTGTGTCAACAAGGAGTGTATAATTCCAAGCATGCTGCAAAAACTGGTTGGCCCGTTGGTACAGATATATAGTATATATCTGTAATGTGGCAGTATAGATATTCACTAGCATCTATCCTGTGTAAGTATGTGTATCGCCAGTAGATACAAGGGAACCAAGCCACCTTTTCACCAGCTATCCCTCATAAAGGTCTGATACGTTCAATGTGCAATGTATTGGCACATGCATGGATCATAGAGCAGTATCCCACTACATGTATGTTCATCACTGGCTTAGATACAGCAGTTGCTCATAGTTGCATCAGATTATAAACACAAGCGTAGCTTCGTCAGGATGTAATGACAAAGCTACGCTTGTACGTAAGTGAAACACGTTGACATCATGAGGCGTCGGTGACGTCACACTCTCACGCCCTGCTGGCCCGACCACGAGGGTGACAGCTTGCTGTGGATGAAGGCACAGCTGATACACCATGACCCTGGATACAATCCGGATATTCGGTGGTCATCTACCACACATATACCTAGACATCACTGCAACGGGGATGGCTGCTTAGCGGTGGGGGACCGTTCCATGTACCCACATAAAGGCATCTTATGATGATCAAGGACTTTCTAAGTGCAACAGTGCAGACCTATTACATATATCTTCAGGTGGATGATGATTGCCAGAACTGGCGGGACATCACCTCAAGGTCTGTAAGCAGTTTAAATACAATACACAGGACTCTTTCGATCCCATTGTGGGGTAAAAGCTGAAGTGGATGTCCATCTCTCTGCACCGTACACAGTGGTAAGGTACATGCCGCGCCGCATTGTGTTTATAATCTGCAACTATGAGCAACTGCTCATTCTGTATGGACCCTGGGGTGTATATGTGTATGTATATAGAACTTGTGGAGCTATAATTCCAATCAACTGATAACTTCAATCTACCCAATTTTGAGTTGGGCTTCCGCAAGATATATATATACAGTCAGGTCCATAAATATTGGGACATCGACACAATTCTAACATTTTTGGCTCTATAAACCATCACAATGGATTTGAAATGAAACGATCAAGATGTGCTTTAACTGCAGACTGTCACTTTTAATTTGAGAGTATTTACATCCAAATCAGGTGAATGGTGTAGGAATTACAACAGATTGCATGTGTGCCTCCCACTTGTTAAGGGACCAAAAGTAATGGGACAATTGGCTTCTCAGCTGTTCCAATGCAAGGTGTGTGTTATTCCCTCATTATCCCAATTACAATGAGCAGATAAAAAGGTCCAGAGTTCATTTCAAGTGTGCTATTTGCTTTTGGAATCTGTTGCTGTCAACTCTCAAGATGACATCCAAAGAGCTGTCACTATCAGTGAAGCAAGCCATCATTAGGCTGAAAAACAAAACAAAACCATCAGAGAGATAACAAAAACATTTGGAGTGGCCAAAACAACTGTTTGGAACATTCTTAAAAAGAAGGAACGCACTGGTGAGCTCAGCAACACCAAAAGACCCGGAAGACCACGGAAAACAACTGTGGTGGATGACCGAAGAATTCTTTCCCTGGTGAAGAAAAACACCCTTCACAACAGTTGGCCAGATCAAGAACACTCTCCAGGAGGTAGGTGTATGTGTGTCAAAGTCAACAATCAAGAGAAGACTTCACCAGAGTGAATACAGAGGGTTCACCACAAGATGTAAACCATTGGTGAGCCTCAAAAACAGGAAGGCCAGATTAGAGTTTGCCAAACGACATCTAAAAAGCCTTCACAGTTCTGGAACAACATCCTATGGACAGATGAGACCAAGATCAACTTGTACCAGAGTGATGGGAAGAGAAAAGTATGGAGAAGGAAAGGAACTGCTCATGATCCTAAGCATACCACCTCTTCAGTGAAGCATGGTGGTGGTAGTGTCATGGCGTGGGGCATGTATGGCTGCCAATGGAACTGGTTCTCTTGTATTTATTGATGATGTGACTGCTGACAAAAGCAGCAGGATGAATTCTGAAGTGTTTTTCGGGCAATATTATCTGCTCATATTTAGCCAAATGCTTCAGAACTGCTTCACAGTGCAGATGGACAATGACCCAAAGCATACTGCAAAAAGCAACCAAAGAGTTTTTTAAGGGAAAGAAGTGGAATGTTATGCAATGGCCAAGTCAATCACCTGACCTGAATCCGATTGAGCATGCATTTCACTTGCTGAAGACAAAACTGAAGGAACAATGCCCCAAGAACAAGCAGGAACTGAAGACAAAGATAAATAAAGTATTGCGCTCACAACCCTTCAATCAATACATATAAACAATTAAAAAATGTGTATTGATAAAACATGAATACTTGTACTTGTGAATCTATTTGAATCCACTCAAATAAACAATATGCATAAGACAGTGAAAAAGTGAACTAATAAATGAAATAAAGAATATATGAAAAAAAATATAATTATATATAAATAACGTCCCACAAAAAAGTGACTTTGTGCTGGGGAAATCTTCAATATCATAAAATCGGTGACTGCTTGTGCCTCCTCCCTCAAGTGAAGATATGCGCTCACCTCATAGATAGCCTGCAATTAGGCTATTAAAGCTTGCGGTTCACCTCCTTTGGAACCTACTTGATTAAGAACTCCTGTTTGTGAGATATCCATGGAATGCGACATGTACTATGGAAAAAATCTCCTCTCATGGGGTGCCACTCTAATGTCTTCCTGTCTCCATCCGGTTCTCCATAAACAAGAAAAATCCTGACATGGTGCTTTATCGTTTTAAAAGTTTTAATTTGCTGACAGGTGGCACTCACATATATTCGTATAGTGGTAGTACAACTATTGTTCCATATGTATTGTTTATATGTATTGATTGAAGGGTTGTGAGCGCAATACTTTTATTTATCTTTATTTTACGGTTTTCACATTGGTAGTTATGTGCTAGAGGTTTGCGATCCAACAACAGGAATTTTTATTTTTTTGGCTCGCAAGATTTCTTTCAAACAATTAGGAACTGAAGACAGTTGCAGTAGAGGCCTGGCAGGGCATCACCAGGGATAAAACCCAGCATCTGGTGATGTCTATGCATTCCAGACTTCAGGCTGTAATTGACTGCAAAGGATTTGCAACCAAGTATTAAAAAGTAAAAGTATGATTTATGATTATTATTCTGTCCCATTACTTTTGGTCCCTTAACAAGTGGGAGGCACATATGCAAACTGTTGTAATTCCTACACCGTTCACCTGATTTGGATGTAAATACCCTCAAATTAAAGCTGACAGTCTGCAGTTAAAGCACATCTTGTTTGTTTCATTTCAAATCCATTGTGGTGGTGTATAGAGCCAAACATGTTTGAATTGTGTCAATGTCCCAATATTTATGGACCTGACTGTATATATATATATATATATATATATATACATACATATACCACATTTGACGTCCGGACGTCCGTATTTTACATTGTTTTTATTTATGTCTTGTATGTTCACATGTAAGTTGCAGTTGCTGGGCACTGCGTGTTACTTTAATATTGCTATACTGCAAATTATTTTGCTAAACTGAATAAACACAATTTTTATTCATCATAGCCTGATACAAGTCTTGTTTGCTGTCCAATCAACCACTTGTCTCATGGGATGGGCTTTACCCATTCATGCGATACCTTTTGTTTTTGCTCTGGTCAATGGTTTAGACGGCAACACTTTTAAAGTGAGGAGGCAATCAGTGATTTTTCATATTTCCATCTAAATTATTTTTTTGTTTTGAGCACAGCCATCCAAAGCAGTGTGTATGAGCCGACAGGGAGGAGAACTGTTTTGTTTTCAAACAGTTCTCCTCCACATCGGAGATTCTCGACAATCACAAGCGAGTAATCACCGGCCGGGACCCAGTGAATTTTGCACACCCGTGCCTCCCTGTAGCAGTATTTCTGCTATAGGGCGGTCGGGAAGCGGTTAATCAAACACAAGATTATTTTAAAGTGTTAATGACAGCCAATAAGATGATACGTGGATGTTTTTCTGCCACCCCAGGCAGCCCTCTGTTACCCTAGACTATGTCTTGCGTTGACTATTGCAGAATGATGGCACTGCCTGTAGGGTAGTTATTGTTAGATGTTTGTGAGTCTGACAGCTGCATTCATTATAATTTATTAAAGTTATTCATAGTTTTCTCAAATATGGCTAAGGTAGAATATTCTGTAATTGAAGTTAGCTAATGTGAAAAAGCTTCTTCCATTTTGCTTTATCTCTGATGCAGTCTTTAAACTTTCTGATTTCTTAATGTATAAATAAATGGATTTAGCAATGGGCTCAGTATAGTGGTTACAAAATTAACCAGTTTGTCTGTTTCTATTGAATAACTTTTGTTAGGTCTTATTTCAATAAATATGGCACCACCAAAAACTATAGAAACCATAGTAAGATGAGAAACACATGTAGAAAATGTCTTCTGATGGCCCTTAGCTGATCGCATTTTTATAACTGTGGATATAATGAAAATGTATGAAATTGATGTGATTACTAAAGGTACAATTAAAATGATAAAAGAACTTATAAAATTTGAAAGTTTGATAAAGCTGATGTCTATACAGACCAACTTCATCATGGCAGCACCATCACAAAAAAAATGGTCTAACACATTACCGCAAAATGGAGCTCTTGATAGCGTAAATGTAGGATAAAGAATACAGAGGAATGAAATAACAAAACAGCTAACAACCATCTTTATGCATAAACTGAGCCTCATAATAGAAGAATACCTGAGAGGGAAACATAAAGCCACAAAGCGATCAACAGACATTACAGTCAGTATAAGAAAATCAGTCGAGGATAAAAAAAAAGTAAAAGAATGATTGTGTTATACATCCAGATTTAGAAAAAGTGTGATCAGCTGTAATGAAGATGGCAAAGAGTTTATAGTCAACTGCAGAAATACCTATTGTTTCCATGAATGAAAGGCAGACCAAGAAAAAGTACATGGGTGAATGGAGACGATGGTCAGCACATATAATAAAAATGATTATTCCATTCCCAGCTAAAGTAACAAGGTAGACCAGAAGCAATATTGTAAATAGAAAGGCCTGGAATGTATTATTTCCATGAAATCCCTCTAAGACAAACTCCGCCAATGAGTTATTTATTTTTTCCATTAAAAAAAGAACAAGATGCGTCTCCACATAGCTGAGGGAGCTTTTTTTAAACAGTCGTGCATAGATACATGAATCAGTACTTGTAGAGTATGTAATCCACGTAAACTAAAATCCTTAAGAAACAACCATCTCCAGAGAACATATTTCTATAGTCAAGATTCCAGATCTATTTTTAAATATTATCTTTTTTTTTTTATATAACTGTAATATATATATATATATATATATATATATATATATATCTGTAATATATATATATGATTTTTTTTATAAATTATATACTGTTTTACATAATACCTTTACATTTACAGAGATTTTCTATGCTCAAAATTACTAGCATAAGCTTAGCGATAGTAGGCTATTTAACCATGTTAGCCATCAAGTAGTGCAGGAAGTTTGCAGTTTAAGTTATAACCTTTACTGGCTAACAATTTGTGAACAGCTGCTGTTACTAAATGACCAGTTGACAGCCCTACTGTACGTGGGTGGATATACCCAATTGTATTTTTTTTTGTGTGCACTCAAGAACCCGTCCACCTCATGAGAAGCACACAGGGTTCTGTAATTGGACACAGCAGATTACAGGCAAAAGGTACAGAGCCAATGAGAGTGATCTGTACCATGTGATAAGTCACAGAAATCACAAGTGAAAAACAGTGTAGTCCCGTTTATATTTGGGAGCCCTTACCTTACTCTCACAACAGAGGAAGGTGAGAATTGAGGACTTATTTAATTAACCTAATCAGCTGCAGCAGAAAAAAATGAGCTATCAAACGTAGTGGTGTGTGTGTGTGCGTGTGTGTGAGCGCATGTGTGTGTGTGAAAGGGGGAGGGGATAAAGGCCACAATGTTGTGAGATTGTTTTTTTTTGGGGGGGGGGGGGATTTAGGTGCCAGTGACCACCAATAATGAGGCAGAATAAGGGGTTTAAATGCCACTGACTAGAAATGATTGTGATATTGTTTTGGAGGGTTTTTAAAGGGTGAATGACCACCCATGTTGTGGAATCGTTTTATTTGGGGGAAGGGGGGAATTGTAAAGTTCTACTGACCACAATGATGAAGTGAAGCAGGTAGCAGGGTTTTACAATTTTCCTGACTGCCAATGATTTTAGGATTTTTTTTGTTTTTTGGGGAGGGAGGGGCTGACTTATATATTAATTGTGGAGTGTTTAGAGGGTAGTTTGAAGTTTCAGGGTTTATCTTTAGCACTAGCCATTGCACACAAGGTAATTACATCCTCCAGGGAACTTTCTTCAACTAATAATGGAAGTTTTGCACTTGGCATCAGTGGTAATTTACGTACACCATATGGACCTGACAGCAGCAGGGGGTTTTAAATTGTGTAGAAATCTGACAAGCTGACTTCTGGCTGTCAGATGAAAGCAAACCAGCACCTCAGGTGGCACTGGATTGCTTTTACACCCCCCATGATGAATGTCCCCATCACCTGTACAGGAAGGGGATCCAGCATGTCTGTCCTGAAGTGGTTAAGTTATTAAAAGATGCAAGCTTTTGGGGGATAACTTTACACATGCCTGAATAAGGGATCTAATTAATCCCAAAAGCTTGCATCTTTAATAACTACAGTTAGCTGATAAAGGATATCACTTAAACGCTAAACAGCCTGCACCATGATAAGCTTAGTTACAGTGAAGTAATTTGTTACATTGTTTGCCATCTTTTGTACCATTGGGGAAATTTCTCTTCATTTCTTGTCCTAGAGATGCTACAGGAAGTTTTTAAGGCAAAAATGTTTTACTTTAATGCATTCTCTGCACATTGAGGTTGATTTACTATAGAAGTAAACCATGTTTACTTGTAAACTGATTTTTCAATATAAAAACTGACATTTCACTTTTCATTGTGAATAAGGTTTAAAAAGTGAATATTCACTTTGCAAAGAATACCCAATAATTAAAAAAAAAAAAAAAAAATCTTACAAAAAAAACATTATTTTGCTTGTATGTGAGTGAATGATTAAATACAGCACAACTTCACTTCTTTCCCTAAGCTACAGTCAGGTCCATAAATATTGGGACATGGACACAATTCTAACATTTTTTGGGCTCTATACACCACCACAATGGATTTGAAATGAAATGAACAAGATGTGCTTTAAACTTCAGACTGTCAACTTTAATTTGAGTGTATTTACATCCAAATCAGGTGAACGGTGTAGGAAAATACAACAGTTTGCATATGTGCCTCCCACTTGTTAAGGCACCAAAAGTAATGGGACAGAATAATAATCAGAAATCAAACTTTCACTTTTGAATACTTGGTTGCAAATCCTTTGCAGTCAATTACAGCCTGAAGTCATAGACATCACCAGACGCTGGGTTTTTATCCCTGGTGATGCTCTGCCAGGCCTCTATTGCAACTGTCTTCAGTTCCTGCTTGTTCTTTGGGCATTTTCCCTTCAGTTTTGTCTTCAGCAAGTGAAATGCATGCTCAATCGGATTCAGGTCAGGTGATTGACTTGGCTTTGCAAAGAAAGAATGAATTTTCTCTTTGCAAAGTGAGTTTTCTCTCACCTTATTGAATGAGGTAAAGCTAACCAACGTCAGCCAATCTTTTCAATTCAATCTTTTCTTTTCCTCAATTTTCTTTGTAATTGATTGGATATTCTTTGCAAATTGAATTTCCATTTTTTTTTTTTTATTAGTTCACTGAGATAAGTGAAAATTAACTTTGAACGTAAATGTGCTCTACTACTTTAGTAAATCAGTGTTAGAAGCTTTCCTTAACCCAATATCTAATATCTTCTTATTAACAGTACTAACATAAGTATGAATGAGTTGGATCTTAATAGAATAATTGAGTTATTATATTTATATTTGTTCTAGATTGGGAAAAGTAAGGAATTAGACTTCATAGTCTGTGAATATACATATGAACATATTTCTTGGGTTTTTCCTTTACATTCAAGCCACATATTAGAGAGCAATTAGCTATACCTTCCCCACATCCTCCCCCATCTATGTAAGAGATTATATGTTTCACTAACTAGTGAATTGTTCGGTTTACAAGGTTTATACTGTAATATTTCTTGATTACGATATTTATATACGAGATAACTCTTAGTAAGATTACTTTTAGGAGAATATATATATAATATATATATATATATATATATATATATATATATATATATGTATGTGTTATACATCTAATGTATTCTAATTGATGGAATGTCAGTGAAGTTTTGTCTAGGCCTTCTTAGGTTACGCTCAGACTTTGAGAGAAGTAGACTGAAGGTTTGTTATATATACACATCTGTTTCCAATTATCTTTGTGGGACTACAAGTATATCAGCCCATTTTTAGGATAAGGTGGGGGCTGGATTGCTCTTTTAAGAGTAGAACAAAGGTTTGAGTTTCGCTCACACATTGCTAGAAGCCTTGAGAGACACACACACACATACACACATATACATATATACAATCTTATTATCAAGAACTTAACTATATTTTTTGGACATTATTTAAACATTCTGTATGCCAATATTTTATTTCTAATTTTATGCAACGTTATTATTAAATCATCTTTTTGAGTTTATACAAGAAGTGGAAGGACTTTCTATCTGAACATTTCTCATCAATACAAGTTAATAAAATATCGAGACAATACGATATTTTACAGTGGCGAGCCTCCAGTTCGATTCGTTTCCGCCGATCGATTATTTTTGCCTTTTTTCTCTTTCACCTTGATGAGAGGGAAGAGGTGTCGGAGATCGTCGCGCCGCTGGTCCCGGCGCAGGCGCAGTACACCTCCCTGTACGCGAGCGCCGGGACTTGGCCGACCGCGGCAATCAGGTTCGCGCATGCGCAGTAGTGACCGCGGGAGCGCGCCTGGCACCAATGACAGTGCAGGGCGGGATATTTAAACGGCCCTGAGCTGTCATTCAGTGCCTTTTGGTCTTTTGTATCCTGTGAACCTGTGAACCTGTCTGAAGTAAATTGCTGACCCGGATTGTGCCCTGACCTTGCTGTTTTCTCTCCTGTTTTGACCCTTGCTTGCCTGACCTCTCTCCTGAATGCCCCCTATTGGATCTGACCTGCTGTTGCTGACCTGGCGTGTGACCCGACTATTCTCTGCCCGCTGCTCTGTACCGCACCGTCCCCATAGTTACCGACCCGGCTTGTATGACCCTGCTCCTGCTCAGCCGTCCATCCGTCCCTCTCTACGGGGTCTCCAGACCTCCTCATACCTGGCTCTCTCCCGTGGGAGCCCCTGGCGAATACCCCTAACCACTGACGGGTGTCCTCAGTAGTCACGACCTGGTCCTAGGGTACTCCAAGTCCATCCCCACCATCAGGGGGCCCTGGTGAACAAGTACCCTGGGGCTTAGACTCCGTGCGCTGGGAACATCCGACCAGTGGAGTGCTAGTGGTACCACCGGGCGGTCCCTTACAAGAGGTTTGCAAACTCAGCAAAATATGAAATCAAGCTTTCAGGAGAAGTAAAAGTCTGCAACAGATGAATCGTCGGCATAATCGAGAACCTAAAAGCAGAATTGGTGAGAATTTTGCACAATTGCAAGAAACGCTGTTCCTTGGTGATGTCATTTCCCGCCAAGAGAGAAAAGACGCGTTATGTAAAGAAAGACCTTCTTAATCGGTAAGTAATGGATTTTATTGATGAATTAT